GGCCTTTGCTTCCCTACCCTCAGTGTCATCACCTGAGACCCAGCTTCACTGTAGCTCCGCTGCAAAGGTCGTGGGTGATTGTGCATTTAAAGAGCCTGATACTGGTGTTACCTCGGAGTTCGCCCCCCTTGGTACAGTGCACATTTGGAGCCAGGTCATTTTCTGCGGGGGGCCGTCCTGGGCACTGTGGCGTGTTCAGCAGCATCCCTGGCTCCTGTTCACTTGATGCCAGGTCGTGACAACCGTATCTATCCTCAGATGTTGCCCAGCCTCCCCTGAGAGCAGAATCACCCCCTGGTGAGGACCAGTGAATTAGTTGGTTCCCTCCCAAACACTATTTTCATGCCTTTTGCTTACATGAGCCACCGAGGTTCCCCAAACAGGGCTGCTAATCTGTCAGGGAGTAAATCTCTTTTTGCACTAAGGATGCTCCGCTAGCAGCGAGCATGGCTGTGAGTCGGGTGCTTTTCCGAGAGCACTTGCTGGATGTCAGCCTCGTCCTCATTTTAGCTCTCTGAGGTGGTTGCTACTAATCTTCCTATTTTTGAGGTGGGGGAACTGAGGCAGATAGAAAACACATAATTTGCTCAGTCTCCTGGTCCATAAGTGGTCGCAGACCCAGGTCTCAGACCTGGGCAGGCTGGCCCCGGAGCCCACGAGGACCTGGCAAAGCAAGTCAGGGTCCCTGTCTTTCAGCACGTACTCCGCCGGCTTGCTGGAGGAGCGTGGCCGATTGGCTTCTCTGCTCATCATTGTTCCCGCCCCTCTGTGAAACGGGATGTATTCGTTACTTATTTTTGTCTAGCAAGTTTCCATGAACTTGGAGGCTTTCAACATATTTTCCAAAGTTCTTTTGTAAAGTCAGTTGTGATGTAATTAGAAGACTGTTTATCCATCCCAGGCAGCGTCTGGTTTGCTCTCTTGTGTTCGTTCCTATTCTGATGGATGAGCAATCGCAGACTTTTCTTTGTAAAACAAAAAAATACTGTTGGTGGCGCTGGGGAAATCCCCTCTCTCTTAAAGGTTGAGATGGGAAGAGGGAGGGTCTCTTTTTCTAAGTCCACAGCCCACAGAGCCTAAAATTTCTACAATCCCATCCTGTGGAGGAAAAGTTTGCCAGCCTCTGCTTGGGATGTGCTTCCTGCTGCATTTGACTGCTTAGACTTAAATATTCCTCCTGGTGGCTAAAAGCTGCAATGTGTTTTGCTGCAGTAACTGGAAACATCCTCTCGCCAATAGTCGGCCACACCGATGGTGCCAAAGCTAGGGGCGTGGCCTGTCTCCAGCAGTGGCTTGGTGTGGGGGTGCAGGATAGCTGCGGCTGATGCTGGGGTGGTGGGATGAACCAGCACCATGCCTGCCCTCAACTGAGGCATGCAAGGGAGAGGGGGACTTCGGCTCACACCCACCAGGCCCCCAAAGAGCTAAAATGACCTTCTGTGCTTTCTCATTAGCAAGGGCAGGGGGATGTAGCTGTCTCCTGAGAGCCCTGGGTCGGTGGGGCAAGGATTTACAAAGCCTTGTTTGAAAAGCAGCCTGGGACTCCTCCCCTAGGGTCTAGCAGCCCCATCCTGCGTTTGTGCCCAAGCATTGTGTGGCTGTCCACACAGGGACTTGCCCCCAAATGTTCACGGCTGCTTTAGTCACAACAGCCCCCAACTGAAACACAACCCGGCTGGACATCCAGAAGAGAACAGATAAGCAATTGGGGTAGACGCATTCTGTGGAATACTGTATGGCAAGGGACAAGGATAAATTACCAATATTTGGTATTTATAACCACATGGATGAAAGTCACAGGCATGTTGTTGAGTGGAAGAAGCCAGACACAAAAGAATCCATACTGTGGTTCCATTTCAATGAAGTTTCAAGACAAGTGAAACTAAGCTGTGATGAGAGAAATCTGCATAGTGGTAGCCCAGTGGGTGATGATGGAGAAGGGGCTGATGGGCAGTTCTCCAGTCTGAAATGACCTACCTCTTGATCTGGGTGTTGGCTACTGGGAGTGTGTGTGTATGTATATATATATATATATATATATATATGTATATATATATATGCAAAAGCCCACTGAGATGCTCATTTAAGATTTATGTACTTTAGCACCTATAAATTGTACTTCAGTACAAATTAAGAAAGTGAAAGTAACATGGGGTGGTGATAGAGGAAATGAACACTTTTGTTCACTTCCGGTGGGAGTACATACAGGGAGTGCTGATTTGCAGAACAAGCAGTAGCATTTAGTAAGAGCGAGAATGTATCTTTTCCACGTGGGAGGAGAAGTCCCAGAAGTTCCCCTTCCCTGCAGCTACCTTCCAGACACCCTGCCGACAGGTGCTATCATCACTTCCATGTTACCAGGTAGGGACACTGAGGCACCAGTCAGAGTACTGGCCCTTAGCCCACCTCACAGCTAGCTGGTAAGGGTCACAGCACTCAGATCTCCCCCCACCCCGGTGCTGTGCTCGTAACTACCACCTTGTAAGGTAGCGAGGCCTGCTGTGGGGGAATAGTGGAAGCAACCAGCATGTCCAGTGACAGGGGACTCGATAAATGGTGATACAGCCACGCTTAATGAAACCATGACACAATAAGAACAAGGTTAGGCTACACATTTTTTGATTAGAAAAACGTTAGAGATGTTGATGGAATAAAGCTAAATATTGATGCCTTCTATGTCCAGAGTCAGCGACCTAGGGCCAGTGTCTGGTCCACCACCTGATTTTGTAAATAAAGTTTTATTCGCACACACTCACGCTCATTTATTGACACATTACCTGTGAGTGCTATGACAGCAGCATCATGTCAGGCCAGAAATGCCAACAATAATTACTATCTGGTCCTTTACAGGAAAAAAAAAAAAAACCACTTGCTGACTTCCGGCATGTATGAATTAAAAAGCCAAACCAGACTGAAGAATACTAAATGTCACATGCATGGATATGCGCACACGTGTCCAAACTGAAGGGATGAGCACCCAACTTGAATGTGGCCTTTCCATCACTGAAGCAGGGAGGTGGGCAGCCTGTCTGCAGGCGGTCAGACTTATCCATCTGGAGCCCAGGGTCCCCCCTGAAGCTGGCATGCTCCAGCTGTTCCTCCCTCCGAGCCTCAGTCTCTCACCTATAAGAGGGGCACATTCAAACCTCCTGGAAGGGTCAAGTCATGGGTCAGACGTATCTGGCTTAGGGGCAGGCACAAAAGTTGGTGACGGTGGGCCAGCGGGGAGAGAGGCTTGGGGAGGCGGGTTCAATGCACTCTCCCCCTCCAGCTCCAGAGGCCCCACAGGCAGGGACCACTTCTTTCTTCCTGACGTAGCCCCAAAGCCTGCTCATGCCTAGCACACAGTAGGTACTCATTAAAATGTCTCCCTCACCAGAGCCAGAACCAGGCATTAAGTAAGGGCCTGCTGGGGGGTTGCCTCCCTATAACTTCCGCTTGCTCCCCCTGACCCCATGATCCTTTAGGTGAACTTTGTCCTGAGATCTGCGGACCTCTTGTAGGACCTGATGACAGAGTTCAGGGTGTCCACGAACTGCTGGGGAAGAATACACATCTTTATCTTCACTGACTCTCATTGGTGTTTATCATTTGCTTAACTTATGAACAAAGTTGACAGGACTTGGGACTTCACCACAGGTGTTTTCCCGTCAGACTGTGCTGCTGCAGATGCTCCAAGTGCTGCCGACGCCCATCTCCATCCACCACAGCGTCGCTGACGTCATTAGATCTTGTTGGTTAATACGGTGGTAACGGCATCTCCCCAAGTGTCTGTTTCAGAGTAGCTCTATTTCAAAAGTATTTTTAAAAGATTTTATTTTTAGACAGAGAGGGAGGGAGAAAAACATCAACGTGTGGTTACCTCTCTCACGCCCCCTCCTGGGGACCTGGCCTGCAACCCAGGCATGTGCCCTGATTGGGAATTGAACTTCAAACCTTTGGTTCACAGGCCTGCACTCAGTCCACTGAGCCACACCAGCCAGGGGTCAAAACAATTTTTAAAGTGATTGTCTTTCAAGGTTTTTTGGGGTCTTAAAAATTGTGGTAAAACATACTTAAAATCTACCACCGTAACCATTTTTCGGTGCACAGCTCAGTGGCGTTAAGTCCACTCACGCTGCCCCCCACCCCCACCCCGTCGTCTCTAGAACCTTTCCATCTTCCCAGACTCAAACGCTGTCCTGATGAAACACCTCTCCCCCAGCCCCGCTCTCACTGTCTGTGTGTCTCTTCGAACCTGACTCCTCTAGGGACTTCACGTGAGTGGGATCACACAGTGTCGGTCCCTCTGTGTCAGTTACGTCTCTGAGTGTCTTGTCCTCAAGGTTCATCCATGCTGCAGCAGGGGTCAGAACTTCCTTTTTCTCACTCGGGGATATGTTTATTGATTCTGGAGAGAGTGGAAGGGTGAGAGAGAGAGAAACACTGGCTGCCCCACCCCACACCATGTACCTCAAATGGGGATCAAACCTGGAACCCAGGCACGTGCGCTCACCGGGAATCAAACTCATGCTCTTTTGGTGTACAGGATGCTGCTGCAACCAACTGAGCCACCCAGGCAGGGCAGAACTTCCTTTTTAAGGCTGAACACCATGCAGTCCTTTGAATTGAAATACCACATTTTGTTTATCCATTCATCCAATGATGGACTACTAACTTGTTTAAAAAATATTTTAATAAATGCATTGTAACAATATCCCTATAACCTCCTGTATTTTGCTTTGTGAATCTACAAGTGGTATTTTGAGAATAGGCTCCTCAGTTCTCCAGGCAGACAAAGAAGCTCAGAAGAAGGCATTTATAATTTGGTAGGCCCCTTACTCCATTAAAATCAATCAATCAATACTACATTTTACAACTGCATTGGTATAAGGATGAATATAATCCAGGCTGGATTCAATGCCTCTAAAAGTGCGATGGCCCTGAGTACGGTGTCTTGGCTGTGCCCCATAGATATGTCCCTTCTGGGTCCAGGACACCTGAAAGGTTAGGACCCCTGCAAATTCTAAAACATCATGTGTGCAGCTTCAGGATGTACCATCTTGGCCTTGCAGACGCGGCTGCCCGGGGGCTTCCCGTGCCCCGCTGTGGTCAACCCCACCGTGTTCTTCGATGTCACTGTTCAAGGCAAGCCCTTGGGGCGCATCTCCTTCGAGCTGTTTGCAGACAAAGTCCCAAAGACGGCAGAAAACTTTCGTGCTCTGAGCACTGGGGAGAAAGGCTTTGGTTATAAAGGCTCCTGCTTTCACAGAATTATTCCGGGATTCATGTGCCAGGGTGGGGACTTCACGCGCCACAACGGCACAGGCGGCAAGTCCATCTACGGGGAGAAGTTTAATGATGAGAATTTCGCCCTGAAGCACACGGGTCCTGGCATCTTGTCCATGGCAAACGCTGGACCCAACACAAACGGTTCGCAGTTTTTCATCTGCATGGCCAAGACCGAGTGGCTGGACGGCAAGCATGTGGTCTTCGGCCGGGTGAAGGACGGCATGGGTGTCGTGAGAGCCATGGAGCGCTACGGGTCCAGGGATGGCAGGACCAGCCAGGAGATCACCATTGCTGACTGTGGACAACTCTCATAAACGTGACTTTTGCTTTATCGTAACCACCTGACCATTCCCTCTGTGGCTCAGGAGAGCACCCTCTCGCCCCCATCTGCTTGGAATGGTCTATCATCTTCGTGCTCTTGCCCAGCCCATTGGGTTCCATGTTTTCCTTACCCCTTCCAAGTTTAGCAGGACTGCGGAGTTAAGTTTATGATTGTAAAATAAAAACTAAACAAAAAAGACATGCTATCTTGCTCCCCCTCATCCCACCACATGGGTTCCCCAAAACAACTCCTGGATTCCCATTCCCGCAATTTGGGGGCGCCCCCGGGTCAACGCCCCATTTCCCCAGCCCCTGGTCTATTTCCTGGACAGCTCTGATCACTAGTGGAGATTCTCTGATTTTAAATTGTGGTCCTTTTCTCACTAGACTGTGTCCCCCGGGGCCTAGGGTAGGACTTTGACCCCTGTCCTGGTGTCCAGAGCGCGCCTACCACTCGTGCCCAATCTGCAGCGGGGAGGCGTGCAGAGCGGAGGAGGGAGGTGCTGCGGGACCGCTCGGGGACTTTCCGGTGCTGCCAGGGTAAGTGTGACCTCACCTCCCGTGCTCCCGCCCTGCCCTCGGAAACGGCTGGCAGCCGGGAGCGCCCGCCCACACTGCCTCCGTGCTCGGCCCTCCGCCCGCGCTACTGCCGCGCGTTCCCGCCACAAACTCAGGCCCCAAGGCCTTGAGTGGCGTGTGCTGTCACCCCACCACCGAAGCCCAGGTAAGTGGAGAAGGCGCGAGGGTCGGCTTTGTGTCGCGGTGTGTGTCTGGGGCGCCTGCTGTTGTCTGGGCACCGCGGGGCCTTGCCAGGTTCAAGTCCGGCTGCCCCAGCGCTCCGAGCTTCCGGCGTCTGAGCGCCGCAAGTGCGGTGCCCCTCTCAAGGCTCCCGTCCGCGTCTCTGGTAACTCAGGTCCTTCCCAACCCCCTGTTCCTTCCACACGAATTTTCTGAATTCCCTGAATTCCTTTCCAACACCCTGAATTTTTCCCAGTCCCTCAGATCTCCTTTAATCTCCGCCCCCTTTTCTCCCCTAGGTTTCTGATCCTCAAGTCTCAGAGCTTTCTCTGCCTTAGCCTCTGTTCCTCTTGCCCCAGGGGCTCTGCCCCCGCTGCTTCCGCCGCCCCTCTTAGCTCCTTCTGAGTCCCAAACACCACCTTCCCCAGGGGATTCAGGGTGTGGGCCCCCAGGGCCCACCAGAACCCCCCTTTCACGATAGGTCCCTTGACCTGCCCTGGATCAGCTGAAATCGGGAAATCTCCAACCCCGCCCCAACCTCCTATCCTTTTCCGTGGGGTCTGGGATTGGCAAATCTGTCAGGTGCTGGCGCTGGCACCTGCCAGAGCGCTGGTGGCCACGTGCCCACACATCTGTCTTCCTTCTCACTGTGGCTGAGGCAGGGGATCAGCAGAGCGGGCACTGCAGTGTGACCCAGGCAGGCCGGAGGTCTGCGGTGTGAGTTCCAGAGTTTGGGGGTGGGTAGGTCAGTGAGGCAGACTCCCCAAACTGCCTGGTCCTCTTTTTTCCTCTGATTCAGGGGCATTTATTAAATCTCCAGCAAACGTTTATGGAGTACCTGCTCTAGGCCAGGAGACACTGCTGAGTGTGCTGGACACACAGTAGGGACCATGTAGGGCCCTCATGGAGCTCACAATCAAGACAATCAGCAAAAACTGAAAGGTGACAGCAATGCATGCCAAACCGAGAGTGGACATCAAGTAGCCTGGTGTGAGGCTAGTGGACTGGCCTGGTGTGAGGATTCCTCAGAGCCAGGTGTGGGAAGGGGCCGGCACGTAGTAGGTGCTCAGTAAGCACTTAATGAATAACTGCCTCTTTGGTTTCCTGTACAGCTTTCAGAGGCGGTCTGGCTATGTTTTGCTTGGCAGGTCTTGTGACATTTCTTAATTAGCCAAAAGGAGTGAAGTGCACCCCCACTATGCTCTAGGGCTGGGGGGAGCAGATCAGACTCATTGTCTTCTTGGGAAGAAAGGAAATGGTTTTGAGGACCCACTGTGTGCCAGATGCTATTCTGTCCATTCATTGATATATTCAGTCAGTAAATATTTATTAAGCACGTACTGTGTGCCAGTCACCAGAGATACACCTGTGAACAGGATGGATGGGACATGCCTGTGTCACTGGAACTTAATCCAGTGGAAAGTGATGCATATTCAACAAAGTAAGCAAATGAAAGTGTCAGGTGGTGAGAAGTTGACAGGAGAAAAAAAAAAAGGCAGGGAGTGTGGGGGGATGGGGTTTAGTGTTCAGCAGGGTAGCCAAGGTCTGACCTTGATGAGGAGATGCCATTTAAGCTGAGAGCTCAAGGACGCAGGGGAGCCAGCTGTGTGTCTATCTGGGGTGCTCTAGGCAGAGGGAACAGCCAGAGTAAAGGCTCCGAGACAGGATCCAGCGCGGAGTAGTCAATGAACAGGGTGGCTGGATCAAAGGGGCCGAGGGGGAGAATGGAAAGAGGTGAGGGCAGGGAGGTGACCGGAGCCTAAAACAACCCTTGGTCACTCCCTCCTAACCCCAAATCAGCTTCTTCCACATCGTTCCAGGCTCAAGCATTTGTGCCACAAGCCCAGGTGTCCTTGCCTCCTCCCGCTCCCTCGCTGTCTCCAAATTACCCACAGACCCAACCACTCCCATCCTTCACTGAGACTACCACCTGGTCCAGCACCCATCACTGCTTGCCAGAACCAGTGGTCACCTCCACCTTGGTCCCCAGTACCCCTGCTCCTGTCCTTGCCCCCAGCAGTCTGTCTTCCCTGCAATAGCCCCTCTGGGCTGTAAACCCCCGAGTCAGGCCCTGCCGTTCCCCTCATCCCCCATCCACAGACCTCCAGGGCTCCTATCGCAGTGGGGTAAAAGCCCAAAACCTCCCCACCATGCACAAGGTCTGGCATGACCTGCCCCCCACCAGCCCTCATCTCCTCCCCCAAATTACTCTGCTTTAGCCATGTGGGCCTGCTCATTGTTCCTCCAACACACCAGATACAGTTCTACCCCAGGGCCTTTGCACATGCTGTTTCCGCTGCCTGAATTATGAATTTAATATACATTTTATACATATATTGTATAGATATCATCTATAATATATAATTAATGTACTCACTGGACTGTCAGCTCCAAGAGGGAAGAATCTATATCTGTTTTTTTCTCTTACTGTCCTGGTATATTCAATGATGCCCATTACATGGTTGAACCTGAAAAATTACTTCTTGAATGAATGAATACTGTGTATGTATCCCTCCCTCTCCTCATACCATTTACTTATTATACAACAAATAGTTTTAGCTCTGACTGGTGTGGCTCAGTGGGTTGGACGTCATCCCATAAACCAAAAGGTCATCAGTTCGATTCCCAGTCAGGGCACATGCTTAGGTTGCTGGCCAGGTGCCCGGTTGGGAGCATGGAAGAAGCAACTGATAGATGTTTCTCTCACACATCAGTGTTTTTCTCCCTCTCTTTCTCCCTCCCTTCCCCTCTCTCTAAAAGTAAATCAATAAAACCTTCTTTAAAAAAACAGGTATTTTTAGAGTTTTTCCTCCGTGGATGACACACTGGCCATCCACGACCCCAAGGACCCATGATCCTCTTTTTTTAAGCTCACAAGTTCACTTATTTGCATTGGCTGCCAACTTGGCAAAACCTAGCAGCTTCCTGAAAATCCGAATGTTGTCCAACTCCTCTTGAAACATTAGCAGATCCGGTCCTGCTAAGCCAGTCTTCACTCACAGCACCATGCACAAGTCAAAGCCACTACATTCAGACAGTGCCAAGGTGGTTTTTGTTTTCGGGTCCCCCCTCAACTGGGGTAGCAACTCAAGTCCTCCCTGCAAAGCCCTGTATGACCCCCCCCCGCCCCTTCCCTCCCTGTTCTCACCACCTTTCTCCCCACCCTCACTCACCCTGGTAAGCCACAGTGGCCTCCCCGCTGTTCCTCCAATGCGGCAGACAGAGTCCCACCCCAGGACCTTTGCACAGGTTGTTCCCTCTGCCTGGATGTTCTCTTCCCTCAGAAGACCCCAGGGGTCAACTCCCTCCCCATTGTTATGTCTTAATGAAATCTCTCTTTTCACTGAGGCTTTCTTGAACCACAGTGTTTAAACTTGCAGACACCCACCCTGATTCTGGGTATTCATGAATGCCCCCCCATTATGTTTTTCCATGGCTCTTATCACCCACTGATACACTGAGAATTTCACTCACGTACTTGTTAATTGTCCTCCACACTAGAAAGGCAGCTCCGTTGTTTGGGTCTCAGCTGTTTTCTTCTCCCGACCAGCATTTCAACACGCCAGGCCACTTCCATTTTCCAAACATCCAGGCAGCCACCAACCTCCTTACATCCTCCCCACAGCACTGCTGTTCTCTGCACCACTGCTGTCCTCCCTCGGTCACGCCCCTTGGTCACGCCCCCTCGCACCTCCACTCCCTGAGGCCTGCATCCCCCTGTACTGTCTCTGCTCTGCCACTGACCTCCTTGGAACCACCAACCTTGGCCCCAGGTGTCCCAGTAAACAATATGGCATCTGCTCGAAATAAAATTTTTAAAAATCCTGAATCCTAGCTCCAGCTGGGTAGCTCAGTTGCTTAGAATATCACCCCAATACACCAAGGTTGTATGTTTGATCCCCAGTCAGGGTACATATAAGAATCAACCAATGAAGCCCTGGCTGGTGTAGCTCAGTGGATTGAGCACGGCCTGCGAACCAAAGTGTAGCCGGTTCGATTCCCAGTCAGGGCACATGCTTGGGTTGTAGACCAGGTCCCCAGCAGGGGGTATGTGAGAGGCAACCACACACTGATGTTTCTCTCCCTCTCTTTCTCCCTCTCTTCCCTCTCTCTAAAAATAAATAAATAAAATCTTAAAAAAAAAAAGAATCAGCCAGTGAGGGCATAAATAAGTAGAACAACAAATCAATGTCTCTCTCCATTGCCACCCCTTTCTCTAAAAACATCAATAAATAATAAAAGTTTTTAGAAGTCTTGAATTCTAGACTAGGGTCCCTCAACATTAGCGTTTACCAACATTTGGGGCCAGATCGCTCTCTGCGGGGAGCTGTCTTGGGCGCGTGGTGAATGAGCAGCATCCCTGGCCTCCACCCACTCAATGCCAGGGGCACCTTCCCCCACCGCTGGGACAACCAGAAGTGTCCCCAGACCACACCCGGTGTCCCCTGGGGAGAGGAGGCTTCCCCACTGAGCAGCGCTGCTCTGGCTGTGGTTGCTCGCTGTGGTGCCCCGGAGGCACGGGCAGTAGGGCCCCGCCGAGCTGGGGTGCAGGTGCGGTGTTCTTGGCCCCCTGGAATGGACCTGTGTTTTCCCCCAGTCTGAACGTGACATGATTTGTGCACCTGGTGACTTAAATTACAGTGTTTGGGACACCCTCCCCACCGTCTTGGCTAGGTGCCCTTGGAAAGGCCTTCTCTCTGAGGCTGGTTCATTCACACAGCAGGGGTTTGTCAGGCGCCTGTCCTGTGGTTCACTGTCCTAGCCCCGGGGAGACTCGCCCCGCACCCTCCGATGTCCCCAGTCAGAAGGCAGACAGTAAACGCGAAAGGTTTAATGCACAGGAAAAGTTCTCCCGGGGCAAATTCTGTTGTGGGGGAAACAGGGGGATGTGGGAGGGACAGGCTGGTATGGGGAGCTGAGGTGGTTGTGGAGGCTCTGCCGCACCTGAGGTGCTGTCGCTGTACCTGAGAGCTGAGCGAGGAGACTAAGATCACCCAGGCGAAGGTCTGGGGATAAGGTTCTCTAAGCAGAGGGGACGGTGCCTGCAAAGAGCCTGAAGTGGGAATCAGGCTGCCATTTTTTGAGACCTAGAAGAGGACACAGCCTCCGCGTGGCGTGGCAGTGCTGTGAGGCATAGAGCCAGCACACGGTAATGGTGAGCGCACTGTATTAACAATGCTGCTTGTATCAGTTAGCTATGTATGTAGCTGCATAACAAATCACCCCAGAACTTCGTGGCTTAAAATCAACAAACATGTATGATCTCACACAGTTTCTGAGCATCAGGCATCTGGGGGCAGAGAGGCAGGGGGTTCTGTCTTGGAGTCTTCATGGAGGTCACAGATGAGCTGGCCACTTGGGCCGCTTCACCCGAAGACTTGACCGGGGCTGGAGTTGGTGGGAGCCCAAGCTCACTCCCCGCCCAGCTAGTGGTGAGGGGCCCTCAGTTCCTCACCACGTAAGCCTCTCCGTGGGGCTGTTCACGACATGGTTTGCCCCCGACAGCATGACAGAGGAAGAGAGAAAGCCAGCGTGTTTTATAACTTATGTCATGAGTGACACCCCCTCGGTTCTGCCATCTTCTCACAGCCCCAGGGGCTGACTCAGACACAGTGTTGGAAGGACCACCATGGCTCTGAATGCCAGGGTGGGGGGCTCACCACAGCCACCCAAACATGTGTCGGGCACCTGCCGACCTCCAGTCAGTGGACCGAGAGCTTCCCGTACATTGACATAACTCAGTTCCCTGAAACAATCCCATAAGTGGACTTATTATTGTCGTGATAGGCAGCATAGTCTCATGGCTAGGCACACGACCTCTGGAGCCAGACTGCTTGGGTTCAAATCCCAGCTCTCACTCACTGGCTCTCTGACTTTGCACAAGTAACTTCACCTCTCTGGCTCACTTCATTTGCAAATGAGGGGAAATAGCAGTGTCTGCCTCTAGGGTGACACGTGGAAAGTGTCAGCTGCTATCCTCTTGCAGAGGAGGAAACAGGTTGGAGGAGATGACATGTCTTGCCCAAGGTTCCCCGATTTGATAGGTCATGGTGGCCTCTGAGGGTGGGGTATCTGGGGTACTCCAGGGTACCCCCCCTCTGGTAGTAACACGCTTCCTGCTTCCCACAGGTCTGCTCTGGCAGTTCCCTGGAGTCTGGTATGGTGAGCAGGTAGGGGACGCCGGGCGTGCAGGACGGCAGGCAGTGTGGAATATGCCTCCACCAGCCAGCGCTTCTGTCATTGGAGGCCCCGCCCACCCTGCCCATGGCCTGCACCGGCCCTTCGCTCTCCAGTGCCTTTGACATTCTGAGCACAGCAGGCCAGAACAAGCTCCTGCATCTTAAGCACAAGCTGAAGATCCTGCACCCATGCTGGCGGGGAGCGGACCTCCTGCACGCCATGGTGCTTCTGACGCTGGGCCAGGAGACCGAGGCCAGGATCTCCCTGGAGGCCCTGAAGGCAGATGCGGCAGCCCGGCTCGTGGCCTCCCAGTGGGCCAGCATGGGCAGCGGCGCTGAGGCCACAGAAGAGCCCCCAGACGTGTCCTGGGCTGTCGCCCGGGTGTACCACCTGCTCGCCGAGGAGAAGCTGTGCCCGGCCTCTATGCGGGATGCGGCCTACCGGGCAGCCCTCCAGGCTTTCAGCTCCAGGGATGACCCCCAGCTCAGGGAGCTCCAGGAGGAGGCCCGGGAACGGTGCGGGTGGGACATCGTCAGGGACCCTGGGGGCTTCCATCCCCTGCACTCTGCTCTGGGCTGCCTCCCGCCATCCTCGGCAGCCCCCTCCGCGACCCGCAGCCTCCCTCGGCCCATCGAGGACCCCGTGGACTGGAGCAGAGGATGCTCCCTGAGATCCACCAGCACCCCAGCCTCCCTGGCCAGCAACTTGGAAATTAGCCAGTCGCCCACTGTGGCCCTCCTCAGCCAGCCCCGCAGCCCCCATGGGCCCAGCAAGCTGTGTGCTGAGCCCCCGGCGCACCAGCCTGTCCCCACAGGCTGCCAGGAGCCTGAGGAGATGAGTTGGCCTATGTCGGGAGAGATGGCCGACATCCTGGTGCCATCAAATAGCCCAGACCCCGGGCTTCCAGAGATGGCCTCAGATGCAAGCCCCGCTGGCCCGTCCAACCCCTCTGAAGCTCCAGACACCAGTGCCCACTACCCGGTGGAATGCACGGAAGTGTCACCCACCCCCAAATCTCTCCCCTCGCCCTCCAGAAACACCTGCCCCATCAAGGACCAGATGCCACTACAAACTCCCAGAGAAGATACCCCTTCTTCGACAGCCCAGCCATGCCCCCCAAGTCCCCTGGCCCCGAAGACATCCCCTCCCTGTCCTTCTCTGTCGACTCCTTGTTCCGCTCACCTGGCCTCCTTGAACCTGCGTCCCCCTTCCACAGAGGCAGAGTCATCAGAGCAGAAATTCTACAACTTTGTGGTCTTGCACGCCAAGGCAGACGAGCACATTGCCCTGCGTGTCCGGGACAAGCTCGAGGCCCTGGGTGTGTCCGACGGGGCCACCCTCTGCGAGGATTTCCAGGTGCCTGGGCGCAGCAAGCTGAGCTGCCTGCAGGACGCCATAGAGCACTCGGCCTTCACCCTCCTGCTGCTCACTGCCAACTTTGACTGCTGTCTGAGCCTGCACCAGGTGAACCATTCGCTGATGAACAGCCTCACACGGCCAGGGTGGCAAGACTGCGTGGTCCCTTTCCTGCCCCTAGAGAGCTCCCTGGCCCAGCTCAGCCCTGACACGTCCAGGCTGCTCACCAGCGTGGTGTGGCTGGACGAGCGCTCTGAGATCTTTGCCAGGAAGGTAGCCAACACCTTCAAGCCCCATAAGCTGCGAGCTTGCAAGGCCAACTGGAGGAGGGAACAGGATGCTCGCGCCCTGCGGGAGCAACGCCAACATCTAGAGGGTGAGCGGCAACAGGCGGCTGCATTAAATGCCGCCTACTCAACCTATCTCCAGACCTACTTGTCCTGGAACTCACAGATGGAGCAGCTCCAGGCAGCTTTTGGAAACAGCATGGCACTTGGGACTCAGTTGCCCTCTGGGGCTCAGGGGCCCCTGGGAGCCCGGCCACCCTTTCCTGGAGCCCAGCCACCCTTTCCTACCTGGCCCAGCCACCAGCCACCAATCCTGCCTCCATGGCTGACTGGCACCCCCAGCCCGGCCTTCCCACAGCCCCCACTGCCCCCACAGCCCCCACAGCCCCCACCCTTCCCACAAGCCTCACCTGTGTCCCCTCAGAGCCCAGGGCTGCAGCCCCTCATCATCCACCACGCGCAGATGGTGCAGCTGGGGCTCAACAACCACATGTGGAACCAAAGAGGGACCCAGCCACCTGAGGACAAGACACAGGAAGCGGAGTGACCTAGTGACAAAGCTTATGACCTTGACCATCAGATGCCCTTGGGCTGTACCTTGGAGACTTCCCATCTCCAGGGGTGCAGTGGAAGATGGTGTCACCTGCTATTTTCAGGACATTGCTAGGGACACCTTCATGTCTCAGGAAATTGTGCAAAACGGATCCCAATGTCTCCGGCACTTAGGAAGGCCAGGGTTAGATGTGGTGTTCACAAACTTTATGGTGGTGGTGGGGAATGGGCTAGGGGGTATCAGTACGGTGTTTTAATTATAATAAATATTTATTGAATGCTTGTCTAGCACCGTTCTCCTCTGGGAAACTGCTGGGAGATTTGTTAAGATAAAAAAACATGCCTACTGTACCCGAAAAAGGGAAACTGAAGAGAAACTCACTTCTCTGCAGGGCACACATCGGAAGTCTCCCATATCTGCTCCTTTCATAGGCCAGAACGGGGGGGCTCCTCTGGCTGCAAAGGCAACTGGGAAATGCAGTCTTCTGAGGGACGTGTGCATTGCTGAAAGTAGTTCTAATGCTGGAAGTGGGTATTTAGCAGTTTCTGCCGCAGCTCTTTTGGGGAGTTGGGGGCGTGGGGCCTGCCTTCATGTGTTCGCCGAGGCTGGGCTCAGATCCCACTGTGTGATTTTCGGCAGGCATCTTCACCTCTTTGAGTCTCTGCTTTCTCAGAGTAGATTTATGAATTCAGTGTTTCAAGGTCATCAGTAAATCATCCCATAACACCGAAACACCAGTGTCAGGGTAAGAACTTATTAACTTTGCATGCCTGGCAGGAGGGGATTCATCTTCTCTTGAGAAGACGAGTAGAATTGATTTTTGAGCACTCACCATTAACAGTTCTGGAGGATTTAAATGTCTAAATATATTTGAATCTCCCCAAATGACCCCTGAGGTAGAAGCTTCTGTGGTCAGGACATGTATAGAGGGGGAAACCGTCGACCCAAAGAGGTGAATCCTGGTCCCAAAAGTCATGGGTTGGAACTGGGAAGGTTACAATGGAAGAAGCCAAACTGCCCAGGGAGGAGATGGTGGGGGGCCCAGAAGGCCCTCCCCACCCAACCATCTGATTTGAACATTCCCTCGTGTCCCCTTCCTGCGGTGCCTGCCGCCCCCAAAGAGCAGGCCTGGTGTGAGTCACCCGGACTGTCATCTGCACTTGCTTTCAGTGGCTGACTCATATTTTTGTCAGGGCTCTGCTCCTGGCCTCCCAGCCACGATGAAGTGAAACCCTGGGGAGGAAATCCCGAGATTAGATTCTAGGGTGGGGTGCCATCGGAGGGGTTTTGGAGATACCCTGTCGTAACTGGACAGTGGCAGTGAATATTTGCTTATTCACTGACTGAGCGCCTGCCAGGATTTCCCCAGGCAGCATGGTTTGCAGGGGTAGACATGATTGTCCCTTGCTCTCTTTTCAGCTGAAGGTGGAGGAAGGGGGAACAGTGAATGAGTCATCAAATAAGGAAGCCAAGATAACAGGGCCAAGCTGCGGGAGTATCTCAGGAGAGAGCCCTTTGGCCCAGGGGCCAGAGAGGGCCTCTCTGAAGAGGTGGTGTTGGAGCCAAGATCCAGAGGAAGAGAGGGCGCTGGCCACGGAAAGAACTGGGTGGGATAGAGTGGAGATGATCTGGGCGGAGGAAACAGCTGGTGCAAAGGTCTTGGGGTAAGGCCATGTTTGGCCGTTTCAGAGGAACAACTAGGAGGCCCATGTGATTACAGGACAGAAGGAGGGAGGAGGTGAGGGCTGGGAGAGGCAGGTTGTGCAGGGCCTTCTGGACCACATGGAGGGCTTGAGTTCCCTGCTCCACTCTCCACCTGCTAAGAGAGTTGCGAGTCCTGGAGAGCGAGAGCGGTGAGCTGAGAAGGGCTGGGACCTCAGATGCTCACAGGCGGCCTCTGGTGGCTGCTGTGGGGAGGACAGACTGGGAGCCAGGGTGGAGCTCGGGAACTAGGGCAGATGGGCTTATGTCATTGTCTCCACAGGCCTAGGAGCTGGAGACCATCATTGTCCCCCAATTTACAGATGAGAAAACTGAGGCCCAGAGAGGTGAAGTTACTTATACAAGGTCACACAACATATAAGTAGCCTTCAGGGGCAGGAATTCTCTCTACTGGATTATAGCTCAAGCAAAGACTGAATAGCCCGTTGCCTTGACTTTTCAATGCTTCTTGTTAATTTCATTATTTGTTACTTTGTGGTTTCTCCACCACACCCTGGCCACCCTGAGAGGCTGGGGACAGATCTGTCTTGCTCACTAGTGTTTTCAGGAGCCAGTACAGGGCATGGCACATAGTAAGTGCTTGGTAATTGAGTTATTTGATAGACAATTACTGAGCACCTGCCGTATGTGAGACTGTGGGGGACTTCGCGGGGCACAGACCTGTTACCAGTCAGTAAGGAGAGCGTGGATTCCTCTATCCACTGATCCAACCAACATCTGTTGAGGTCCTACTGCGTGCAGGCCCTGTGGCACAGTGGTGACTGAGCAGTCACCCAGGAGGTGACCCAGGACAGCCCCATTCTGTCTTCTCAGTGTGCGTGGCCCCGTGCCAAAGACTATTCTGGGGTAATTAGGGCTGTGATGAGGAAATCTAGGGAGCTGCTAGAGCTTAAAAGAGGCCCTTGGCCAGCCACAGGGGATTGAGAAGCTTCTGAAAGGAGGAAGTAAGCTGAGACCTGAGGAACAGGCTGGGAAGTGTTCCTGGAGGTGACAGAGCATGGCAAGAGCCTGCAGAGAAGACCACGCAGAACATGGTAACTCCAGGGGTGGTGGGGAGTTGAGGGGTTGGGGGTGGGAGAGGGACCCACAGTTTCCCAGAGTTGGGGGCTCAGCTATCATTCCTGCTGCCCCAGCGCCCCCTGGTGCCCACATGCGCCTGGGTATTTCTCGGGGAAGTCCCATGTACCCTCTTAGCCAAATGGCCTGAAAGAAAAATAGAAAAATTGAAAAGAAAAAAAAAAGAAATAGAAAAATTGTTCCCTTTAAAAATTGTGAAGTATGAATAAATAATAGATAATTTGTGGGGGTTTTTTTGGAAGTCAACAGCTGTGTCTTGCTTGGAACGATGTCTTTCTGAGTGTATGGATGTTCCCCACCCTCCGGGTCTGGGGGGCAGCGGTTCCCCCAGTGTCACAGCATATATGCAGCTGCGGCTGGGCCTGGGCAGGACTGGGGAGGGGAGGTGGGCTGCATTTGGATCTCACAAATTTATGTCTCCAGAGCAGGCTGAGTGTCCCACTGCCTGACAAGGCACAAAGAAAATGACAGGTCTCCCCCACCCCACCCCCAGCCTCCCCAACAATCAGCATAGTGCTGCACACAAACACACAATCAACAGATGTGTATTTAAAATTATCTTCTGTTGCCCTGGCTGGTGTAGCTCAGTGGATTGAGTACAGGCCTGCGAACCAGAGGATTGCGGTACGATTCCCAGTCAGGGCACATGCCTGGGTTGCAGGCTGGTTCCCTGCAGGCCAGTTTCCAGCAGGGGACGCATGAAAGGCAACCGTACATTGATGTTTCTCTCCCTTTCTCCTTCCCCTCTAAAGATAAATAAATAAAATCTTTTAAAAAATAAAATAAAATTATTTTCTGTTGAACAAGAAATACATTCCCATGGTTCACAATTCTAAACGCACCAAGGTGGAATCGGGTAAAGCTGCCCTCTGTTCCCCGTCCTCAGCCACTCGGTTCTCCATGCCAGAGATCCTCTTGATTTGTATTCAACCCCGGGCCCCCCACCCTGTGCTCTCCCTGAAGCAGCCAGAGGACACATCTGAGCACCCAAGTCAAGTCCTGCTCCCCCTCTGCCCCACAGCCCTCCAGGGCTCCCATCTCCCTCCCTTGGGATAAAAGCCCAAGCCCTCCCAGAGGCCCTGTATAACCTTCTCCCATCCCCTCCCTGCCCTCACCTCCTCCTCTCTCCCCCTGCTCACTCCACTCCAGCCACACAGGAAAGGCCTGGTCCTGCCCCAGGGCCTTTGCACAAGCTGTTCTCTATGCTTGGGAATGTCCTTCCACCAGAAACCTCCATAGCTCCCGCCTCATTGCCTCCAGATCTTTGCTCAAATGTCGCCCACTCAATGGGCGACACTCCCCGAGCACACCATTTAAAATTCATTTATAATCTCACCCACCAGATCCCCCTGAATCTGCTCTATAAGTCATTTACTCATTGGCCAGATTGTTATCCACCTTCCCTGTGAGGATGTGAATTTTGTCTGTTGACTTCACTGCTGCACGCCAGTGCCCAGCACATAGCAGGTGCTTAGTACAGGAATTTGAATCACTGTTTAAGTCTGTCTTTATCTTAAAAAAAAATAGCTTTATTTATTTATTTTTAGAGAGAGGGGAAGGGAAGGAGAAAGAAAGGGCAAGAAACATCAATGTGTGGTTGCCTCTCATGTGTCCCCTACTGGGGACCTGGCCTGCAACCCAGGCATGTGCCCTGACTGGGAATCGAACCAATGACCCTTTGCTTCACAGGCCTGTGCTCAATCCACTGAGCTACACCAGCCAGGGCTGTCTTTATCTTTAAAACAGCCTCTTGATTCCATGTTCCCTTCTTGTCCGCTGGCAAGCAGTCCATCCATTCCATCATCCCTTCTGTCATCCATCTGATCATTCATTCATTCAACAGTACGTAACGAGCACCTACTGTATTCCAGGGATGGCTTCAGATTCAGGGGACGCAGTGCTGACTGGAGCAGACTCGATTACTGCCTTCATGGAGCTCCCGGCTCTGTGGAGGGCGAGAGACTAAGTGGTTAAACTTAGGTAGTCCTGGGTGTGGTGGGACACACAGGAGGTCCTGAAGGGGGCAGTGCAGGGAGGAAAGGTTACAGCCCAGACAAACGCCCTGTGATAGGGAGGAGCTGGGTGCCTCTGAGGGACTGAGAGGAGCTAGTGTGGTTGACTCGGGTACAGGACCTGTTCCCTCCCTGGCCTGGAAAACAGGATGCTCCGTTTGCGGGGACACAGGTGCTGCGATGAGCACTCCGCGCCACCAGGTGGTGCTAACCGTCAGTGTTCCGGGCCTCTCCCCCTGACAGGGCTGGGTGGGAATCCTCCCAAGAGAACCCTGAGGGGCAGGGACCCCCGAGAGAGTGCCAAGTTCCAATCCACACCAACAGCCAACAGCCCCCTCTCTCAGCTTACAGCCTCCTTAGCGCAGCATCCATATAAATCTCCCCATTAAGTGGGTCTTCAGAAACCGTTCAGTCTAATGCTGTTGGGGGACCAGAGGCCAGAGAGAGCAGGCACATGCTTGAAGTCACAGAGCAGGTCCCACCCCTGCCCAGCCTACAGTGTCTCCTCCCAGCCCCAAGTGCTCCTGGGTGGGGGTCTTTTATTTTTAACCTGGTAGGTGGACACGGCCTTATTACAGCCCTGGGAGGCGCCCAGGGTCTCCAATTTCCGAGGGAAGTTAAAAAACTTGTCTGGGATGGGAGTAAAAGACAGAAAACTGTACTTGAACAATAATTAAATTAACAAAATAGAGAGTAAAAAAAAAACCTTGTTTTCTTCTCAAGAAATGGAGCTGCCTGAGACCTCTCAGGGGGCCGGCCCAAGGTCCTCTCCCCCCCAAGGCTCGCCCAGGGCTCCTCAGACCCCTCCCCAGGCTCTGAGCCTGTCCCCACCGAGTAAACTGGTCTCCCTCTCTACTGGCACCTGGGCTCTGGCGGCCAGCAGGACGGGGGCAGTGCGGTGTGCCTGACCCCTGTTGGGTCTCCGAGTCCCCTTTTGTCATATGGAGCTGTGATGCTCTTTGGCACCCTCCTCCTGATCCCCAAACTTTGCTTACCTGTCTACTGTCCTCATGATCTTTGCCAGCCACCTGCCCTCTTATGAAATTTTTTTCTCTATTCATTTTCCTGAGTCATGTGATAATTTTCTTTAAGCAGGCTTTAAAATGAACCCCCTCCCGTGCCCCAGGAATTAATTAGCGGTGACGTTACACAACCTTGCGACTACATTAAAAGCCACTGAATTGTAAGCTTCACAATGGTAGATTTTATCTTGGTAAAAAATTGTATACAAATGCAAATTAGTCTTTATTCTTAAACTTAGGTTATTTGCAGCATTAACATCTCTGAACTCACGTGTCCTGCGGAGCTAGGTATGGTTTGTTCCTTAAGACATATTCAAATGAACACATACCATTTAAATATTTTAAAACGTCACCCACGTATTAATGTGCACATGGGCACGCAGACGGCCAGCGCCCTACAACTGGGCGCTCTGCTGGGCACTCACTGTGCACCAGGGCATTTCCATGAGCAGACTCATCCGACCCCTCCTACAATGCCAGGAGGCAGCTGCCACCGGTACCCCATTGTACAGATGAGGAAACCAAGGCACGGGGCGGGGGAATGATGGTTCCAAGGGTGTGCGGCCTGTGTCCTAGCCCCTACTCCACACTGCCCGAAAAGCATGCCCACTTTCTGAAAGAGGAAATTGGACTACATCAGAGAACTGATGGCAAGTTGGTGTCCTTAAAAATGTAAAAGAAAAAAGAACAGCTTTTTAAAACAAAACCTTATTTACAAAAAGGGGGCTGGACCCGGCCCCAGGGCCAGTGTGCAGACTCCAGCCACGGATCACTGACCCCCGTCTCCACGCCCTTCTAAACACCCCGCGCTGTGCGCTGCTCTCCAGCCCCGCCTGAGCTGCGGGGTTCCACACATTTCCTCCGATGTGTTCCATGCTCCATTCAAAATATTTTCTAGTTTCGTGATTTCTTCTTTGACTGAAGCTGGGTCACAGCTGCCCACCCACCCGTGTCACATGCTGGGCCCAAGTGACATCTCACTTTGAGGTCCTTTAGAAGTTAATGCTA